TCTCATCTCCAGGTATCTCTGTCAGTTCACTATGCTTAAGGTTTTTCATGTTTAGTTTTAGTTCACCCAGTTTAGGTTAGTGTTTAGTGTTCACCAATGCCCTATTATTTGTACCCTCATTGCTAGCCTCAATAAACGGCTTGTTTTTGTTAATCCACGCCACGTTTTGGTCTGCGTTTGAGTCCTCTTTTGCAACACATACAGTCTGCCCCAGCCAGACTGTGACAGTACGACCTGACCAGGAATGACTGAAAGCACGCGGACTAAATACACACAGGAGGATAATGAGGAAAGTGGGAACACATGGGGAAACAGCTGACACACATGAACATAAGTGCTATTCCATCTATACGCAGATGACTGCCAGCTCTACTTACCTTTTAGTCATTCTGATAGTCTCCCAACTGGACCTCTGCTTGACTGCCTTACTGATGTCAAAGCATGGATGGCAAACAACTTTTTAAATTTTAATGATCGGAAGACAGAAGCAATTTTATTTGGCCCAAATCGTTCTTCTCATACTCTGGATGTTGATCTTGCAGCTTTGACTTCCCAACTAAAGAGTTCGATCACAAATCTCGGAGTTAAAATTGATTCTGCACTCACCTTTGATGACCATGTAAACGGGGTGGTAAAATCAGCATTTTATCACCTCAGACGTTTATCAAAGGTTAAGCCCTTTCTTTCCAAGCGTGACTTGGAAAGCGTTATTCATGCCTTTATTACCTCACGTTTAGATTATTGTAATTCTCTTTTAACAGGGGTTGGGCAGGGCACTTTGTCACGCTTGCAATTAGTGCAAAATGCTGCGGCACGATTTTTAACTGGTAGAAGAAAATTTGATCACATCACTCCGATTTTGGCCTCTTTACACTGGCTTCCAATTGAATTCAGGATCCGTTTTAAAGTCCTTTTATTGGCTTTTAAATCTCTAAATGGTCTGGCACCTGTTTATTTGTCTGATTTGTTGAAGCCCCACGTCCCCACTCGTTCCCTTCGGTCAGCTGAGCAGTTGCTGCTTTCGGTCCCAAAGTCACGGCTGAAACTTAGAGGAGACCGAGCGTTCTCTGTTGCAGCGCCGATGCTTTGGAATAACCTTCCTCTCCATATTAGACAGGCTGCATCAGTGCCAGTTTTTAAGTCTTTATTAAAAACCTATTTTTATTCCCTGGCTTTTAACTCTGTGGGTAACTGACATTTTTATTTTATTTTATTTTTTTTATTTTTTTTTTTTATTTATTTATTTTTTCATTTTTTATTGTTTTTTTAACTTTATTGCTATGTCTGGTTTTATTACTATGTGCATATTAGTATTGTACAGCACTTTGGTCTACCAGGTGTGTTTTTAAAGTGCTATATAAATAAATAAATGATGATGATGATGATGATGATAACGACGTGACAAGGGGAGCGTAACATTAACAACATTGAACCTAGGGACACAGGAACCCTTCAAAATAAAACAGGAAATCTAATGAAACGCAGACCTGACAACATAAGACACATAGATAAGAAACACACGAAGCGAAGGGCAAGGGAGACTTCACAGGGTATGACAATACAAGGGGGAACTGATAAACAGATGCACATAGGAAACATAATAAGCTAGAACATACACTAACAGCATCAAAAGAACTGAAACTCAAAACACTGGGTCATAAGACCCAGGACCGTGACAGGTTGAGGATTGAAGCCAGAAACTTGGAGATGTTATAGGTGACAGAGTTGATCGGTCTTAAAGGTGCACCCTGTTTATGTAACTTTGGTAAACCTTTCAGACTTGGTGTAGACCCCTGGGTATAGCCTGTGGTATGAGGTCCGGTCAATAGCCTTGTCTTGTTCTAACTGCTTCAGACAGTCTATCACCCTCTTCTTGTAGCCACTTCCTGGGTCTCATTTCAGGGGCTCATAAGTATTTTAAATAGAATAGAATAGAATAGAATTCAACTTTATTGTCATTGCACATGCACAGGTACAGGGCAACGAAATGCAGTTTGCATCCATCCAGAAGTGCTTTAGTGATATAGATATATTACAATATATATTAGCAATAATATAGATATGTGAGTATATTACAGAAATGGGTCTATTATGGTATGTTATAATGTACACGGTATGAAGTATGTTGTGAATATTCTATAACTATAAGTATGTACAGGCTGTAGTGAGTACAAGCTATGTACAGGCTATGAACAGGATATAAATATGAAAAACTATACAGAATATGAAATAAATAACTTTACAGAATCTGAGATATACAGCTATACAGAAATGGGAACTATGCAAGTTGTAAACAGTTGTAGGATTAAAGATTATCGTATGTACAGAATGATTATTTACACAGAGCTATACAGTAGTGCAGTTAAGATAAGTGAGGGTGTAGATAGTTTCTACAGAGGCTATATAAAGTGCTGGTGGTTGTGAGTGGTGGTTCAGTCCATGTTATTATTGTGTGTTTGAGGGTACAGTTGTCCATTGTGGGTGTGTGTATGTTCAGTCCATGTTTAACGTGGGTCAGATGTCAGGAGGCAGAGTTCAGGAGTCTGACAGCTGTGGGGAAGAAGCTGTTCCGGTACCTGGTGGTCTTAGTCCGGAGGCTCCTGTGGCGCCTCCCAGAGGGCAGGAGGGTGAAGAGTCCATGTGATGGGTGACTGGGGTCTTTGATGATTTTCCCAGCCCTTTTCAGACACCGCTTCCTGTAGATGTCTTTTATGGCAGGAAGTGGTGCTCCGGCGATGCGCTGGGCAGTTTTCACGACCCTCTGCAACGCCTTCCGGTCCGAGGCAGAGCAGTTCCCGTACCAGACTGTTATACAGTTGGTCAGGATGCTCTCGATGGTGCAGCGATAGAAGTTCACCAGGATGTCTGAGGACAGGTGGTTCTCATGATAGTCTTTCTGGTTTAGCAGTACTGTGCACCTACCCTTGTCTGCCAGAAGGATGATAATGTTGTTGTCATCACTAAGTGATGTGAGTGCCTTCCTCTCCTCCATGGTGATGTTGGATGCTGGGGGCTTTGCATTGCTGAGACAGGCCGAAACTTTCGTCCATAGTTGCTCTGCTTCCACTTCTGCAATATTGTTGTTTCAAATTGCTGTTTTCTGTGGCTGTGATCAGCTCCACTAGCGGGATTTGTCTCGGCGTGACAGCAAAATTCAGCCCTTTAGCAAGGATGTTTTTCTCTGTTTGGGTGATCTGTCTGTCAGACAAATTCTTCACCCAGTTGTCCACATCCTCGGTATCATATCCTCCTCTCTTCTGGACGTTGAGGACACTCTCCGTATTTTGCTGTGGTTTCCGACGTACAACAAGTCAAACTTCTTTTGTTGCCTGGTCTTAGACTTCTTGTAAGAAGAAATTACATTGTTTTGAATGTAGAGTTTCATTTTGCAGGACAATTGAAGGGTTTTGCCCATTGTGTGGGTTTTTTTTAATTTGTGTGTAGAGTTCTGATAATATGAGGCATGCTTTCAAAAAATGTGTGTAAACAATTGGGAAAAACTGTAAAAGCTGATTAAAGGCTCAATTATAGAAAAGGATTAGGGCCACTGGAAAAAAAAAGTGGGCACGTCTTTGTTTTGTTTTTTCTTTTCCAGAATTCTGAGAAAAAGTCTGAATTCTGACTTTTTCCCCAGAATTATTTTTTCTCAGAATTCTGATTTTAATCTCAGAGTTCTTGGAAAAGAAGAAAAAAAGACATGCCCACTTTTTTTCTTTTGGTGCTCCTAATCTTCTTCCGTACTCAAAAGCTCAATGTTTGCTGATGTTTTAAATGCTGTCTGTAGCGTATCTGCAAGCACTTAGAACTGAAAGAGTAGGTTGAAGGAAGATTCTCTCTATTAAAATACATTGTAAAATGAGCTATCCAACTGAGTCCCAGCAAATTGTTGGGTTCATTTTCCTTATGAGAGGAGACAAATAAACTCAAAAGCTTTCAGTTTGTTAAGTGGTTGATGATGGAACTCTCCTTTAACAGAGTTTTTATAACATGGTGGATGTTAGAATTATTATTATTATTATTATTATTATTATTATTATTATTATTATTATTATTATTATTATTATTATTATTTGTAGTAGACTCCAAAAATGTACAGACAGCTAATGTTTAGAATAGAGTTAATATTACTCTCCCCCCCCCTCTCTGTGAATGGGACTCATGGCCACTGATCAGAGGTTGTTGATCAATGATCAGTGGGTTTTGGTCAGTGGTTGTTGATCAGTGGTCATGAGAATTTGCATAATTGAGATTAAGGAACTGCCCTCCCAGCCCATTGTTCCTTCAGTGGGCTGGTTTCAGTCATTGTGCAAATGTCCTGTTTATAAGACTGAAACCTGCAGTCAGCTGAGACTGAAGACGCCACCTGGATGATGATGAAATGTTTCTCCCACTGAAAACGCTGCGTCCAGATGAACAGAATCAACTTTTGGAGAATGTAATTTCTTCTCAAAATGGTATTTTGTTTTCAAATGACACACACAACCCATCACCAGTTGAACACTGATGTGCTTAATGTAAAATACTATGACCATTTCTTCTCCAGTCATCATAATGACTACTGTAAGCCTTTTTTTGTTTTGTGTTACACTTACTACAGACAGTACAGTGGCCTGTCAATCAATGGGGAAAAACTGTAAAAGTAGAGATGGTGTCAGTCTCACAAATCCAAACTGAAAGCTACAATAACCCAGTTTTATCTGAATTTGAAAGCAGGAAATTAGAGATCATCCAGATTTGACAAAACAAATAGAGCAGGAAGTTGTTTTTAACACCCTCCACCCCCAAAAAGGGCAAAGTCTAATATGATTTGCTGTTAGCTGAACTCAGAGTTGGAGTCAGAGCAATTTCCCTGAAAAAGTATTAATGAACTTAAAGGCAGAAACTCATCATTTTATTTTCATTCTGAATGAGATTTTTCAAATCAAGTAATATTTTTTTCAAAAACTCATTGTGCCACCTGAGTGGGTCAACTGAGCCACAGGTTGCAGAAATGATCCCCGGCTCCTGCAATAGATTTAAATATCTCGCCCAAGGATACTTAAAACCCTTATTTACCCCATTGCTTTGCAAGTATTAGTGCATGTGTGAGAAAGTTAGGAAAAGAGCTTTTAAAAACACTGTATATGTGTGAGATCAGGTAAATGAAATGTGTCCTAGAATTATATAGAATATATGGAATTAAATAGTTTTGAAATGAAAAACAGTGACAATAAAATAATAATAATAATTCTCTTACACAATGTGGATAATGTAAGAGTAAACTTTATCAGATTTTTTTCTTTTGCACTTGGAAAGCCCATTGGCTCCTGACATTATACAGTAACACTGATATGCAGCTGATCAGCCAGGTAATCTTCAATGTCCAGAAATTTAATTTAACAAGTTTGCTGATGCTCTCTTGAACAATACAGAACACTATGAATACTATAGTCAACAAATGTCAAAAAACAGTCCAGGGTACAGATGTGACAGCGATATGATTAGAGCTACAGCACAAAACAAACTTGATGGGCAGAGGAAGAGGAGAATGAAGTACAGGACGTATCAATACTTGTTTTTGTTGTAGTATAAAACTGTATCGCCCGCTTTAAGGGTCATCCGTTTTGTGGAGCAGACTGCTGGTTCACATCAAGGTCCAGCACACTGTAAGTTATAATTTCAACTGCTGAAGCGAATTCCATCTTTTAAAAGATGTACTTCCTTTAAGAAAAGAAAACGAACACAACAGTTTATGGACAAATTCTGGTTTGGGGTGAAATTGTGACAAATGTGACAATGACAATTCCTCACACCTGGGTTTTGACCATATAAATTTTAAAAAAAGCTTTTTTCATTTTGCTGTCTAAAACCTATAACACTTTTTATTTTTTTTAGTCACTGGAGAAACAGCAACAAGTAGCACGATGCTTCTCTTTGGCCTCATGGTGGCATTGTTGTCTTACTGTCACGCTGAATAAGAACCAGATGTTTAAAAAAAAAGACAGACGACAAATAAAATTAAAGAAGTAAAACATGAGTCCCAAACAAACTATTTCACTTCCCCTGAGTTACTAATGCACACATGCTTCAAAACTCATCTGCTTTTCTGTAACTTGCCTCTTTCAGACAGTGAACTTGCTGCTTATGTTTCCAGGAAGACCATGACATCTGAAAAGCTGATAGAGGCAACAAGGATGCTACTTTTTCCCTACAGCTCATCTTGTAAACTTACACTAAAATGTTGTTATGACCATAATCAGGTGACTGTGGGATTTCTCTGTGTTTTGAATGAATACCTAACATGCTAGGATTCGAAGTTGACAGTTGTCAAAGTTGATTTGGTCAGTGACAGTTACTGCAGTTATCAACCCAAGTTTCACCATTATTCCAAGTGTTAGTGGGAGTGGTTTGTTTGTTTTCTTTTTTTTCACTTTGGAATGGAAACAAACAGGTTTCATTTTAGTAGAAAAGAAAAAATGTGATACAAATGTGCTCATTATCAGCATTCTATTCATGCTTTCTAAAAACACAGTACCAGTACAATAAAAAAAAGTTGAATATGGGAATCATTTTAAAACTTTTTTTGTTATAATGCAATCTTTGTGTGGTTGACCAAAGCAGGTATTGCAAAATCTAATAGGAAACTGGATTGTAATAGATACATTTAAGAAGGAAAAATAATTAACTTAAATCTGAAAACATCTAAACCTGGTCATGTGTTCGTGTTGAAGTTGTTTTCAGACATAAATACAGCTCTGAATCTTCAATTTTTCAGCTCCCTGCTTCTTCCCTGATTTCTGTTTTTGTTGTGCCTCCTGCATTCGATATGCTGTCTTAACACTATCCTAAACTGGTTTTTATTCGGCTATTCCTAATGTATTCTGCATGTAAGAAAGGTAAAATTGTGGAACTTGATTCTCCTGATATTCTCCAGATTTTATGTTTAAAAATAGCTTTAAACACATTTACAGCACGATTTTGCAGAGGTGCTCTGTGTAAGAGTCTGTTTTGCTCACATGAGGCATGTTTCAAACTCGAATTCTGTTGCATAGTCAGAGCTTTTTGAGTTTCAAAATCTGAAAACAATGTTTAAGTGTAGCTTTCTTGTCTGTGGAGGGCAACAGTTGGGCTGTGTTACTTAATGCATGTATATGAGATATGTTTGGCTCGCTGGACTTTTTTGATAAGCAAAACACAAAGTCTATTTCAGGATTATTCTCCTGTACTGAGAGTCGTGAATACGAGTCAGCACACAGTCTTTGACCAGCAGATGTTCTCTGGTGGAGATAAGGATCTAGACCCTCCGTTCTTGTCACACTTCTTATCAGCCACCAGTGATCCGGCAGGCTTGTGCCTTTGTTCAACTTCATCCTGTGTTGAGCTGCTTTCGTCCCCATCTTCCTCTTCATTGTCACTTCTTTCATCTTTGGTTAGCTGAATGAGATGATTACAGTAAAAATACAGAATGAAAAACATGATGGGAAAATCAACAGAAAAGGAGACTGTATTTAGAAAAAAGCCGCCAAAGAGGACAAAATGTCTACTTGAAAGCAGATTTGAAATCTGAGATGCAGCAGAGAACTCTGGGTAGCAGTTTGGCTTCCTTTCAATGTAAAACACAAAGCTTTGTTGAGCATTTTGAAGCCTGAACATTAACATTTTGCTCATCACAATGCAGGTTTTTTAACAACGTAGTGACATATTTGGACGAAATGATGCATTTTAAAGTTACCACGTAAGAGTGATCTGCATTTATAGGATGCAAAGAACCACATACCTGCTATTGAAAAGATCCATTTTTGCTAGGTGTGTTGGTTTGAGTTACTAACTAACCTTCTGAACCATGTTTGGAGTATTTCAGTGAAAATTGCATGTTTTATTAGCTTTCTTACATCACTGGGAAACTAGGTCAGTAAGGTACTTAAAACCTACTTGATGGTCTGGCCTTTACCTGAGTTCTTGAAGGCTCTGGATGTTGTAGGGCTGTCTTGGTTGACATGCCTCTGCAACATCGCAGAGTTCGTTCATTAGTCAAACTTTGAACGCAGGGTACATGTTTTAATTCTGGTTGGGGAACACTGGGCCAGCTCTTTATCATCTCAAGGACGTTCGAGTTTGCCCACCCAGTCCACATGTATTTTATGGCCCTCTGAGTATCCTGTGGGTGTTCTTTAGGAGTGTGGGGTGTAAAGAGAGACGTGGATAAATACTGTCACAGCAGACTTACTGTGCCAAACATAAATTTCCTGATCATGCGTAGAATGAGGTAGGCCCAGAAAATGTGCAGACAAAGCAGGACCACCAGCATTGTGTTGAAGAAGTAGTAACCAAAGAAGGCAGGGTAATAGAGAACAGGGTAGACCCAAGTACAGTGGATCAGCCTGAAACACAAGCATATCAAAAATGTAAAAATCTGTTACATACTAAATGTAATACATGTATAGGAAATCTGCTTGAGTATGACTGAACAAAGACCAATAAACTTAGTTCACTGGTTACTTTAGACTTAATTTGAAGAAAAAAACACACAACTTAAGTCTTATTTATCGGCTTACCAAAATGGAAAGATGATCAGTCGTGTTACCATGAACACTATGGCAAACAAAACAAAGAGAGTTTTGCAGGTTTTCTCCCATTTGGCATAGTTGAATAATTTGGCAGACTAAAAGAAAAATGAGTTTTACCATTAATTAACAACACACATATACACACAGCAGGTTTTATGTAGGATAAAGACCCAGTAAGTCCCAACAATCAGTTGACCCGCATGAGAAGGCACTTGGTGACAGCGAAGGAAAAACTCCCTTTACACAGGAAGAAACCTCTGGCAGAACCAGGTCAGCCATCTCCCACGACTGGTGGAGAGTGAAAAGGGTTCAGTGAAGTAGAAACACTTCCATCATATTCTAGATCTCAAATATTTTCTTTTCTTTAATATGTGGCACACCACAAAGTAACAGAAACAGGTATTGGCACTTTGCATGTTTTATCTGCTTTCTGACAATTCACAAGAGAAAACTTCAAAAAGTGTATTTTTGAAAAATATCACCATGTGGTCATTGTTCAGAATACGTTACTGCTTAGGTGAGGTCTCATTTTTACCCATGCTGCTCGTTTTTGAGCTAAGATTCCTTTTGTGTCACAACTATTTTCATTTACCTGCAATACCAGGTGGATTTATTTTGAACTGTAAGCAGTGTCCAGTTACTAAAGGTTAATCTATACCTTCATGTGGCCACCAAACATGTGGCCGAGACTGACCTCTAGGAAAACATCGGAAGCATCATGGATAAGCATAACCAGTGTTCCTACACGGATGTAGTTGGCACACCAGGAAAAGGATAAGAGGACCAGAGTGGCCAAGTGGTGGATGATTTGCTCCTTAAAGTCCTGATGGAGATAAGAAACACACAAAAACACACAAAGAAAACTCCAATCAACACAGGGAGTACTGTTTCATCACAAATCATGTTTGCATATTAAAAAAAGGTACATGTTGTTAAATGACAGAAGGACAAGAAAAGCAAAGAGAGAGAGAGAAATACAGAAAGTCATGACGCAGAAAACAGCGCTGACTCTGCCAAGTTAAAATAAATAAATAAATAAACATTTCTAGCGTTATTTACACTTTTCATAATAGTGGAACAAGTTTCAGAATGCATCAATTATAATAATACCATTAAATATAAAAAATACCATAAAAGACAGGAAGAATTTTTTTTCCATTTCCTGCATTCTAATAGTTATCTTTGTACACTCCAACAGAATCTAATTATCAGGAGGCAAGGTTATTATCGTTAACGAAAACTAACGAAATAACGAAAACTAGAACGAATCATTTTCGTTATCGTAAATAAAATAAAAAACAAGACTTCGCAAAAAAATGAAAACCAACTAAAACTGTAATGAGTGTTCACAAAACTAACTAAAATTAACTAAATTTATAGCGAAAATGTGTTTAGCTTTCATTGATGTGTGCGTGTCCTACAATAGTCAGGGTTTTTTCTTGCTGTGTCACATTATGCCAGCAGGTGGCAGCACGTTAGTCGAATCCAATGTCGGATTACTTTGAATATGACTGTGTTTTGGATAAAGCAAGTGTCTTGTAGTGGAAAGAGACAAATTGTGAGGGACATTTCTAAAGGGGAAAAAATCCCACAAACCTTAAAGTGCACTTGAAAAGCTCACACATATATACAATAAAAATAAATAAATTAATTAATTAATTAAATTTTTTTTTAAAAAAAAGCTTGCACAAGAAGGCTAACCTAGCTTACCCTGAGAAGGTAAGGGAGCACACTCACCCCTCATCCCCAGAAACAGAAGCTAACCCCGGGCAAGGCAGTGTGATGCATCCCAAGACAACTCCACAAAAAACATTAATGCAGTGCTTCCAACAGCGAGCTGATGGCTGCTGGTTGGTCAATTTGCAGGAACATCACAAGCGAGAGGAAGCGTTGATGAATATGTTTATTGAGACGGGGACATCTACACAACTGTGTGAGTCAGTTGCCTTCAAAAAGTTTAGCAATTCACTTGAACCAAAATTACGAACACCTGGTGCTGCAAAAGTTAATAGTCTCATTGGGGCCAAGATTTATCTTTTATAGTTGCCTGCTATCAATGGTTGTTCATCTGCCCTATTTTTTTTTTTTTAAGAACCCAGAGGTTCCCCATAGGTGGGAATGTGAGTTGTCTGTCTCTGCGTGTTAGCCCTGCGACAGACTGGCGACCTGTCCAGGGTGCAGGGTATGGCAGCTGGAATAGCAACATACCCAAGGATGAGCAGAAGAGCATGACTGATATGATGAAACTGGGATTTTGTTGCACTTAAATGTTGCAAACAACTAAAACTATAACTGAAAAAAAAAAAAACTAAACTAGCAAACAAATGGTAAAAACTAATTAAAACTGATATAAATTTGAAAATCTGAAGTCAAAACTAAATAAAAATAAAAACTAATGAAAATTGCAAAACTATTAAAACCCTGTCAGGAGGTTTCATGTATTAGAAAGAAAGGGAAACTTCTTCACATGCCTGATCACAATAGGTTAAACATGTTTTGTTTTTGTTTTGTTTTTTTATCTTTCTCTACAACAGGTAGCATTGATAAGACAACTCATATGTCTTCAGAAGGGCTATAGTGTGTACTGGAAAGAAAGGGACCAAGCACCGAGTCTTAAAGGTAAGAAAATGAGATTGAATAGATGCTTGGACTGTTTTCTTTGCCATGTTGCTATGACTGATCAGTTAAAGTAGCTCCGCACCTAAAATGCCAAGACTATATCAGTCCATCATTGTGGCTGGATATCTGTTCTCACCAAGCCTGCTGTTTCTATGAAGGATAGCATTTTATTTTCAGTTGAAGTGAACTCTTTAAAATGCAGACAGTAAGACACAGAAAGTAAGGTTTAATTGTTTGTTTAGCTTTCATGTATGCCCACTCTCTTCTGTAAGATTTTCCTTTCTCTCACGATCATTTCTTAGTACTACGTATGTTCATTTTGTACAGATAGCGATTCAAATAATTCCATTAGAACGTCAGTTAAACATCTGGAATATTGATTTGGTCAGTAAGGTAGTAAATGGGGTTGTTAATCAGTTTTAGCTTCTTCGGTATCAAGAGGAGCAACAATGAGACAACCTCCAATGGACTAGTTCTTATATAGCACTTTACTACTCTGTCTGAGCACACAAAATGTTTCATGCAACTTGCCTCATTTATCAATTGACACCTATTTATACAAGCACTTTTTTCTATGCTTTATTTCTCCACAGAAGTGCTTTCTATCTAACATTCACACACATTCATACTCATGTGGATGCATCGGAGAGCAACCTAGGGTTAGTATCTTGCCCAAGTACACTTGGCTTGGCAGACTGGAGCAGCCATCGATCAAACCACCAAACTTCCAAACCTCCCATACCTCCTGAACTACAGTCATGGTGCAGTAGGCCCTGGGTTCCTCCTTGTGCATGACAATGCCTGGCCTCAAATGGTGAGAGTATGCAGACAGTGCCTGAAGGATCGAGGAATTGATACCACTGACTGGCTCCCATGCTTGCCTGACCTAAGTCCAATAGAACACCTTTGAGGCATTATGTTTCAGTTTATCCAACACTGCCAGGTTGCACCTCATGGAGGAGCTGAGTGATACCCAGGTATGGGTGAGGTCTTCTGGTTAGGTCTGTCTTCTAGTGAAACAGGTGTTTGAAGAGGAGCGGGAAGAAATAACACTTATGTACTCCCACCCCCTTCAGATATTTATAGTTCAGTCATGTAGCTGAGCAGCTGCTTCCTGAGTCTATGTAATACATTATATAACAATGATAATTTACCACACTAGAAATATCTATATTGAAAAGACCTCTTGTAGCTTAATGCTGCCCTCATCCCTGTACTGCATAAAAACCACATCTTTATACACTGATTTAAATTTGTGGACATTTGGACATTGCTTGTGCTTAACCTCACACACAGACACACAAAAACCTCTCCTAGTAGTTCTCACCACAACTCATAGCCCCACTGCAGAGAGAGAAGTGTAATATATAAAACTGTAACAATACAACTGAGCGTAAGGCAGACAAGACAAGAGACTATCAGAATAAAACAGGAAACAGAAAGTGAACTTGTGACATCAAGAAAAGATTGACTACAAAGGAGACGCTGATGGCAAGACACATGGATGAGATTAGGAATAACAAAAACCAGAAACTAGAAATAAACGCAGACCCAACAGAGAAAACTAAACTATACAGAGTTAGCACTTAAGTCATCTCTTAGATGCAGCAGAAAGAATCACGAGTCCACAACAAACTCAAAGATCCAGAGACGCAGGAACACTGAGCACCACTTTCAGTTGCTGCAATTAAATGTTGGGAAATGGACGAGCCTGCCGCTGCCGCTTTTTCAATTTGATTCTCTGCTTTTGAATTCAGGTGTCTGTAGGCTGGTCATTTTAATTTCAGTTTCAACAATATAGCATCCTTTCCAACAAATTACCCAGTCTATACGCGTACGAGTCTGCTGTGTTTTCAAAGTCTTCATTTATTTTCTTGAGCAGTATGTATAATTGCATTTGTTGAGTATTGTATTGTTGAGATTCAAATATTAATATTAGCCTGAAGTTTCGGAAAAAATAATATTACCTTTTTTAATACTAATACTCTTTCACATATTTAGAAATGGTTAAAATTATACATTACACATTATGTAAAGAAAAAAAGAAAGCAGATGAATGAACTGAATTGAAGTTTGTGGTCTCTAAGAACCACTACTTACCTTCCTCTTGACATCAAAAGCAACACTGAAGAGAAGACAGCCATAGAAACTCATTTCCAAGATATAATACCAGTACTGAGACTCTAGCATGGTCTGCAGACAGGGAGACAAAGAGACAGATTCAAGAAGACGGGACAAAATTATAATCAGTTATACAGACTAAAGGTTTGTCCCATAAGGTTCTGTTTTTTTTCCCTAGACCTTAAGGCTAAAAATAAACTGCAGAGGAATCTATTGTTTACACCAATTTGCAGCTTTCCACGTAAATGCTAGTGCAAGTTGATGCTTCTGTTAAACACTGAAAGAAAAGGAAATCTGAGTACTAGTAATTAAAGTCCCACATGGCAAGAAACATGGCAGGTTTACAATCCTTTCACACATTAAAGTATAGCCCTGTTTTTTCAGTTTGTACTGATTGCAAAAATAAATAAATGTATCGTCTGCTTTGTCTGAATGTCTGCTGAACTTCCCATCTGTAGTGGTGTACAGAAGAGAAATTACAAAAATGTGTGATGCCCAAAAATCTATGGACCTAACCGGATGTTAGACGGACATCTATAAGTAGCGTGGGATGGATGATTGGATAATTGGATCCATCATTCAATTGGATGATGGATCCAATTGAATGATGGATAATTGTTAGAATTCTGAGTTCTTTTTTTCTGAGTTTGTTTTTTACTCTTTTTTTTATTGCCCTTGCCTGTGTTTTCCATAGGTTTCCTCAGTGGTTTTGTGGTTTTCTGTGTTTTTGCTCTTGATGATTGATTGATGATTATGGCATGTGGGAGAGTATGCAACAAACCTGCTTGGGAAAACCTGTCCATACTTCCCTAGTATCATAAAGCCATTCTTTCTGCAGAAAAAAAAGGTATTATATTTGTACAGGTAATGCAAAATAAAGAAGAGTGGTGAAATGTTACGTTATAAAGAGCTGTTCAGACAAAAGCTAATGAGTAAAGAGACTTAATCATTTAACCATCACTGCCTTGAGTTGGAAAAATGTTGAAATGGTTATGTTACTTACATCATGCAGTGCTACCATTCCTCCAATAAATGCAGACAGATAGAAAACAAATCGCCAGCTGTTGGGACACAATAAAGTTGCTGTTAATATCAGAATAATCACAAATACACACACTCACAAAAGCAGAGCGTAGTAACCTGGCCTCTGTGAATTTCTTCAGAACTCCAGGGCGGTCCTGTCTGCGTCTTCTTCTAAACCAGCGCTCCACTTGTCTCGTGGACAGACTGCTTTTCTTAGACAACCCATCAATGTCAACCTGGTATTAAATACACATGCAGACAGACACAAAAACACATGCATGTTTGTTTACATATGTGTATCGTGTAGGTGCTTAAATGTATATCTCTAGCCCGCTCGTTTCAGATACATAAATAATGTAGTTTTGTCAAAACTGCAGGAATCTCTCAGGCACATTTGCAAACAAACGCTGGAATGTGTGGAGTCACACTTCAGGCTGTTGAAGGTAATTAAAGAGCAGAAATATATCCACAAGCTTTGAGACATCCGTGACTTTCACTGCGAGAAACAGTAGCTTGCAGTCAGCAGAACTCCAGAAATGTATCGACGTAATTTGTCGTGATTTGGTAATCTGTTAATAATGTACATCACTTATGGAAAATGTGCATGTCCGCTGACTCAAACCAGTACAGTTTAAAACAAATATGTTATATTTGTACATTTGTTCATAATGAAGGTGGCACAGTGGTGGAGTGGTACACACTGCAGCAAGAAAGTCCATGGTTCAGATCCGGTCTGTTCCCACTCTCTACGGGAACATGAGATTGCATCAAAAACATGCATCAAGAGGGAGGGGTGGTTGGTAGGTAGGTAGGTAGAGGGATACTTTATTGAACACAAACACATATACGGTCCCTCGCTATAACGCAGTTCACCTTTCACGGTCTCACTGTTTCGCATTGTGTTCTGCATCCTGATCGGCTGTAGACAATTGTCAATCAATCTCGTGCCGTGTCTCCTGTGGCTGGATTTTGCACCGTCAGAGGCCCCTGTGGGTGCCTTTGGTTTCATTCTTTAATACTGGACTTATTTTTCTACTAAGGTTTGAACTTTGAGAGTTTAAACAAGAGAGAAAAGTGTGAAAATGTTCACGCCTGTCTGAGAAAAGTGTATAAAGTGTGTAGTGAGGGGTTTTACAGCCTTAAAACATCTATAATAGCTGTAAAAAATAAAGTTGGCTACTTTGCAGATTTTACCTATCGTGGAATATTTTTAGAACGTAACTCCTGCGATAAATGAGGGACGATTGTACCAAATACACTAACAGAAAGCAAACTGGCTACACCAAGTTACAAAAAAAAAAAGACAAGCATTTGTACAAGAGCTGTACAAACCTAGCCTCCTAACTAAAATACAGTAAATAGCTGTGGAGCAGTGATGAACTATCCCAAAATAAGTGAAATAAGTAAATAACTGTAGTGCAATGACAGTCTAACCACCAGAATTGTACGACCAGCAAAAATGAACAGTCCTTGAGTGTGTATGGGCGAGGTTGTGAAGGGGCCCATTAGTCCACCTTACCCCTGCGCCTGACTGCTGTGTTAGATGTATAGTCCTTGGAACAAAGGACTTCCTTAGCATGTCTGTAGAGTGACAAGAGTCTGCCAATGAACTAGCTTCTCTGCTTGTTGAAGATTAAGTGTTGGTCATTGTCCATGATGGACAGCAGCTTGTTCAGGGTCCTTTTCCCTGCCACCAATGTAAAGAGCCAGCTTTCTTCACAGCTTGTCCAGCTTGTCTGTTGGCATCTCTCTTTCTCTTTTGGATGCTGCCTCACCAGGACACCAGCGCACAGAAGAGGACACTGGTGATGACTGACTTGTAAAATATAAACAAGAATTTGCTGCAGATGGTAAACAACCCTAATTTCCTCAGGAAGCTCAGCCAGCCCTTTTTTGTAGAGTATATCTATGTTCACTAACCAGTCCAGTGTGGTATCCAGACAGAGTCCCAGGTACCTGTAGGTACTGACAAATTCCAATTGATACAGGTAGTGCAGAACGCCTACCCCTGCAGAAGTCTACCTTACGTCAGTTTACAAAGTCCAGTCAAGCTCCTATACTCTCCCTCCTGTCCATCCATGATATACCCAACTATAGCTGTGTTATTAGAAAACTTCTCCATGTGACATGTTGCAGAGTTGTAGCTGAAGTCAGCCATGTACAGGGCAAAAAGGACAGCAGAGAGCACTGAGAGAGCATTTTTAGGTCACCAATGCTGCTGACCACGGTCTCTGAGGTGCAGGCTCTCAGCCTCACAAACTGTGTGAGGTTCGCTATTGAGGACACCAGGAGTCCAGCCCCATCTGCAACAACTAGTCTCTCAGTAGTGGGGATTGTATAGTGTTAAATGTGCTGGAGAAAGGACTTCCAGGTCGCACAATGGAGGTAGCTACGTAGAACTACTGCTTCTGGCTCTTTTTGGTCAAAAAGCCCCTGAAACTCGAAATACTAACAAGATAAAAAGCTAACTAGGATGGGGCTATGGTGAATGACAAACACGGCAAGGTGAAAACCAAGAGAAGGGTGATAACTATGACTGCAATGTATACTGAAGAAAGTGAAGCTAACGAAGATGGCGACATTTTGGCTAGTGCTGGGGCTAATGCTAGCAAAAAAGAATGAAATGGAGGAGAACGTCAATATTAACTCATCAATTGAAGGCGATACTTATGGAAATTAGGGAATCAGAAAAGAAAATGTGCAACAGTTTGGAGAAGTTAAGGCCAAAGTGTGCAAAACCAGCACAAGACTCAAGGAAGCAGAGAATCATATTTTGGACATGGAGGAGCAGATTCAAACAATGCAGGATGCTGTTACGGAGCTATTAAAACTACAATCCAAACTCAAGTGACAAATCACCGAAGGATAAAGTTGGGAATGAAGAGAAAAGCGCTCCCACTACTCGGTCCATTACTGCACGCTTTCTGAGTTATGAGACAAGACAAATGTGTAATATTTAGAACTATTGTGTTAATCGAGATGCAAGGAGTAGTGGTTCATGTGCAGTGTGGAAGAATTGTGCGAGGACTTCTAATCCTGGGCCCACTCCGAAGTGTGTGGGTCAGCCCACACCTGACTTGTTACATCAGATCTTACAGACCTGAAAATCCTGTTTTATTTTCTTATTATCTGTTTGATTGTTATCTTGTTAACTGTGGTTCTGAGCAGTTTGGAGAAGCGGTATTGTTATGTTTATTTTGACAACAATGTTCCATCTTAAAAATGGCAAACACTGTTAATGTCCTCTCCTTTAATGTAAATAGAATAGTCCAACATACTGTTTAAGGTAAAGAAAGAAATGATTCGTGCAGCCCTCCTACAGCAGACGCGTTTGTCAGATGAAGAACACAAAAAACTAGAACAAGGTTTTTGTTACTACGCCTATTCATTATCACAGAGATCTGGGCACTGTAGAGATTTAGCAATTTTAATATCACAACAGATCTGTTTTGAATATTTATTTGATATAAGGGATAGGGAGATCCGATATGTATTGGTAAAATGGAGAACTGATGGTTTTCCACCCACTACCCCCAATATATACGCAACTATAGGAATGACTGGGCTTTCGATAAGCACATGTTTGAGCTGATCTGAAACTGAAGCAATGCTGACATGTGGAGGGGACATGAATATAAGGCTATCCAAATTAGAAATTTCTAAAGCACATATATAGTACAGCAAAAATGGAAAATAAGTTGCATTATTATTATATGTATTATTGACATCTGGAGAGATGCTAATCCTTCTCGGCTCCCCACTCTACATACTCGAGAACTGATTATTTTACAATTATTACAATTATTTTTTCAGACCTAACAATACCAAAGGCAAACAACAACATTTTGATTGTCAGGACTAAAGGTGTGTGACTTGGTTTACCTGAGCAGGATTTCGACACTGAGTAGTGTAGTAGAACTCCAAGATAGAATTTTCCTCAGCTTTCAGATAGACTCTCTGCTTGATTCCAGCAGAAACTGCAAGTGGTGTTGCTATCCATCTGAAGTACCATAAACATAAGCAAAATGAAATTCAGCACATGATGGAAAATGACATTTTAAGGAGAACAGGTATATTGGGCTGTTACTTCTGTAGCCATGGCTGCGCTTTGTTTGTTAGGCCTGTGGCTGCAACATTTGTTGGTTTGTTTTGTTCTTTTTGTTTTATGTGTGCGTGCAGTAGCGATTGTGCTGGATGGTTGTGCTGGGATCAAATCTATCAGAGCCACACTCCAAGTTAAAGCTGAATTTTTCCATAGCAACACAAAATGAACTACAGTAGCAATAACTATATCCAGCCACAGTATCACCTGTCACAACCAGGAAGACTGGTTACATTTGTGCTTACTCCCAGCAAACACTGTTGATGGTTCACGATGAACGATTAATGAAAAGCAAGTAAGTGAAGTGTTAACCCACCACCACCCACTCCTCTACTGGAGTAGGGTTAGGTGGTTTAGGTACATAATCTGGAGCTTACCTTTCAAACAGGTATCTGATGAGTAAAAAGGCTAAGGCATAGGGGAGAGTCACATAAAGATTGGAGGCTTTGGCATAGACCCGGCCCTCTTTGTCTTCCAGGTCAGCCCATGTTAGGCCCACAGGCAACCATAGACTGTCTGACCAGAAGCATTCATACAGTGTGTCAAACATCCCTCCTCCCTAAGGGAGCCAAAAGGTTATACAAACAAAAGAGAGGCAAAGGTCATGATATTAGTAGTCATGTAGTACTATATATATATATATATATATATATATATATGTACACACACACACACTTTCCTTTACCTTACATGGGCACCAGTATGGTAACATGTTACAGTTACTAAAGTCTACATACAGATCTGTTCAGAAAACAAATATTGACTTATTGATCCTTTCCCTGAGATCACTCCCACACTTTTTCAACAAGGCCTCTCTAAACACAGAAAGAAAGAGTGCTGAAACAGGCAAGGAGTGCCTCACTTGCAACTTGGCAACATATAATTACATTTGAAAGCACTTTTTTAATAAAGTCCAAACAAAGTGATGATAATCACATAATAAAATAATGTGAATTTCAAAGATAGCTCTGTAATTCTGAAAAGGACTGTGTAATCTACTCTTCTCTACTGTAAAAGCTGAATAGTTGATTTCAAGCCCTCACCAAACGGTTTCATTTCATTCAACAGTGTTTCATAACATCTCCGTTTAGAGTTGGCTGCATTCACAGGGATCATTTTAAGAAAGCTTCAGTGCCAGCTTATTCTGATGCTGAAACTTTGTGCAACACAACCCTCTTTTAATGTTAGCCTGCACAAAACCTTTCAGCAGAAAGCCCAGCTTAACAGAGAGAGTTGATAACTAACATCATACCTGTTATATCCTACTGGGTTTTTCAGGTAAAGCAAATAAAGCTTGGCTATTGACCTTCCTTGGCAGGATACTCCTATGAAGACCAACCTTTCACAAAGAAAACGTTGTTGACTGTGTCAATGCCCACAAACCTACTGTAGATTCACTTGCATCACATTTATCTTTACAACAGTTCCCTGTAGCCATATTAGCACACTGTTAAGGAGGCTTCGCATTATAACCCCCAGTCAATAAGGGGACAATAGTTTTCATTACGGTTGTTACTTTCTCTATAAATACTTCAGCTGAAATCTACTGAGAATTGATTCAGTGTGCATGACATGTTCACCCTGCATGCTACAAACACATATCTCTAAATTTGCTGTTTTGTCATCAACGTGGAGTAGTTTTGAATACTTTAACACATTTATAAAGTTTATCTTTAATAAACACAGCACTAACAGAAAATGTAAGAATATGTATTAAATGTGCAGAAAAGTAAAAAGAGTATAATAATGTCAAAGTAAAACTAAATGAAACTTTTAAATCACCTGACTTTGTTCACCCATTAGCTCAGGCTTGGTCTGTTAGCTGTTTGTTTAGTGTTTCAAGTGACATTAAAGGAAATTTGCCTCTAGTCAAAGTATTATTTCACAGTCAAAGCCATTACCCTTCTTCATAGATGCTGGTTTTATAAATGTGATATGCTATACAGATCCTTTAAGTGACCTTGGACAAATATAGCTTCTTAAACAGCTTACCGCTATTTTTTTTTTTTTCAAGGAGGCAAACCACATAACTCAGATTTACTGTGATCTTGCTGAGAACAGAGAATCGATTCGTTACAAACCACATCACTTACTGCAGAAAAGCCTGGATCAAATATCTCCTCCTGCCCACAGTTCTAGTTTAAACACAATAGATATCTAGCAAAAACTTGGAAATATTACTCATATTCAAAGGAAGACACGCAATTTGCTTGCTAGTCACATTTCAAGGTCACAGTAAAACAAAAGCTTACCTTTTCACAGCCAGATAGAACAGGTAAGGGAACTTTTCCACATCAGCTGACTGCTTGTGTTTGCTGTGGAATATGAACACAGATGGGAAAGTCCTACGTTGCCCCCATCCCCAAACACACTCACACACCTTACCACCACCACCCCCACCATATGACAAGCAATCAGCCACTCTTGTCTTTGTTTGATATTCTTTAGGGTCACACCCACCCAGCGACAATTATCTGGGAAGGGCTTTCAGGAAGTGGAGGTAGGCTAGTGGATTGCCACAACACACAGGCTTTTTTTTCTCTCTGCCCTCAAAGGATCTAATAACATTGTTTGTACTGTGCTCCTGATAAAATACAAAAGACAAGTTCTCTGACAGAACAAACCCTCCAGGAATAGAAACTGGAAAATGTAAAAATATCCCAGATACTGTATATAATAGACATATTTCTTTAAAAAGAAAGACTAAAGAAAGAAAGAATATTTGCTAAAGTTTACCTATGTTTTATTTTTAAACTTTAGGGTGTGTGTACAGACGGAACAAATAGCACCAGGACTCTGTACTAAGCTAAAACCAATAGAGAGCTTTGATGAGACTCTAAATTAATCATTAACATAACATAAAAATGAAAAGGTACCTAAAAGTTCCTATTAAGACCAAATACAATGAAACAAACACCTTTAAACATTAAGTCTGTGCAAAAACACCCAAATGTTCATGTTCTGTTAGGGAGGTCAGTACACACATACAGACATATTAACAGAGCAAGTTAGTCTTGTACAGGACTTCCACTGCAGCCTGAGGATGGTATATAAAAACTTTTTCCTAAACAAAGAGATGTTTTGTAACCACAAGTTCTGGTTTTCAGCTACAGAGACATCACTGGTTTTTGAGGCAATTGTTGCTGAGATTTGGCGCTCTGTAAATAAAACTGAATTCAACTGACTTTATTCCAATTTACATATACAGAAGATAATATCCCCTGGCCATAAACCCACAGCTCATTTCCTGAGGATATTATTTGCTTTTTATTCATTTGTAGCCATCTCATATGATCTCATTTTTCATTTTCCTACATAAACATTTAGGATAACAAAGGAAAATGTGGTGGCAAGCTAAAAAAAATTTTTAACATTCAGATGACTCTTAAAAAAAGGAGACTCTTTTTACCCTAAGGATACACAATGCCACCAATAATGTTATATAGTCAGGTTTTTCTACAGGGTGGCCATTTATATGGATACAGCGTAATAACATGGGAATGGTTGGTGATATTAAAGTCCTGTTTGTGGCACATTAGTATATGTGAGGGGGGAGGTGGTGTGAAATCCTCTTTTGTGTGGGGTGAGGAGGGGGGTGTTGTAGGTGAAGTGTTTGAAGGTGGTGATGGCTCTATGGAGGGGGGAGAGGTGGGGGAATGAGGTGTCAAAGTGGCTCACTATCCGGTTGTTCAGTCTGACGTCACTAGCCGTGTCTGGGCCTAAACTCCGCTGCAGGTCCATATATCAAACGATCACTAGTGGCATTACTGAGAGTTGAAAAACTGTCTAAAGTCTTTCATCTTTAATAAAATGATCAGCGTTCTGCTCTACCAGGTGTAACAATTGAGTTTAACATCCAGGCATCCATGAAAACGGAATTTATGACATTTAACGGAGTTAGAAGTTAGCAGGGAGTTAGCTCGCTAGCTTCTATCTAAATACAATATAGCATGTCCTGACTGCGGGGTTTTGGAAACAAATTAAAACGTACAGCTCTGCTATCACTTCCAAGCATAAATGAAGACAGAAAACTAAACAGCAGTGACGTTTGTAGGGTTACTGAAGTTGGGCTAGCTGGTATATAATGATGTGCTACGTGACCGCTAGCGACACAGCTATGTTAGCATAATATAAACAAGCTAACTTTTTTTCCACTCGATAAAAGTTAACGTGAGTGTTCTCGGTGGTCAGGAACAAATCTGTGATCTTATGTGCTGCACAATAATGTTTAATATTTAGTATTTACTGTCATATTCCCATATATCATTGTGATGTTGTTTATTCTATTACTCTTGTTCTCTTCTGCTTGTTTTCTTTTTTCTTTCTCAGCAGGTGACCCAGGTGATTGATATATGCATTTTTTTTTCTCTGCCCGATTCTGTTGGTTTTTGTCTTTTGCCCTTCTCCCCCGTCCCTCTTCTCAGCTGTTTCTCTTTCCCTCTTTCTTTCTCCCCTTCTTTCCCCCAGTCAAGTCTGTCCCGTATTCAGTAAGTGAAAATAAAATAAACAATAAAAGGTGAATCAAATGGACCATTACGGCAAGGCTGGGATGGTCAATTTGGTAAAGTAAATCCGTTGGGCATCTTTCTTTGCCTTTAGACAACAATTCTGATGCAAAAGAGCCAAACGGGACAGGCCAAAAAAAAAAACAAAAAAAAAAAGAAAAATGAATCGCATGGCAGGATGCTCTCCCCACTAAGCGCCAACTTCAGCTCAGGAGAACAACTGAGATAATCCATCCACAATACGAGGTTAGTCATTCATATACTGCTGCATGGGCTGGGCTGTAGTTACATCCTAAGGTTTTAAAAACTGAGCTTAAATAAATGATTAGCGGTAATAAAAGCCGAGGGAGGTCAACAGTGATCACTGACTGTTTTAGGAGCTTTTTGAGATCAAATAGAAGTGGCTGTATCCTTGGGCAAGATACTAACCCCGTGTTTGCCTGCTGGTGGTGGTCAGAGGGCCGGTGGCGCCTGTGTCCGGCAGCCTCGCCTCTGTCAGTGCGCCCCAGGGCAGCTGTGGCTATGATATAGATGGACACATAAAGAAATGAAAAATTACATGTATGTGCTAACTTTCTAAACACTTTGTTACATTTATGATAAAATAGTAGTATAAAACACATTTATGTCGGCCTTGGCTCATTAGAGTCCTTGTCTTTAAATTAACTTTGTATGTTTCAGGTACTGCACTCTCAAAGACTGAATGAACTCAGCATTGGGTCATTGTGAGCATCACAGGGAAGGTTGAAGCCGCCCACTGCACCTGTATAGGCCGGAGTCGCGGAGACCTGCATCCATGTCGCTGCTCTTCTGTTTAATGTAGAAGCAACAGTGATGATCTGTGGCACAAGGACTGTTACAGATGAACCTGCATACTGGGTTTTGCTGGGTAATATGACCAATAGATACAGCCAGAGGTTGGCCATAAGATAGACTTCTCCTCTTCAGCTGCCCAAAAACGGCTCTGGATCAAAACATAAACAGACCATCCGTATGTGAACAGGTAAAAGGAGCCGTCCTCCAAAACAGAAAAATCCCACCTGCTACTGTGGAGGAGTTGTCACTGCTATTGGATCTTTGCTGGAGACACAGTAAAGCTGTGGGTTGTGGGAATGACCCATAATGTTTTATTAGGGGTCTAGATTTATGCCTGTAGTGCACTGCCATGTAAATAATTTGCATTTACTGAATATGTACTGACTGAGTCCCACTGTTCAAAAGTTGAATAAAGAAACAAACTAATTTTTGCTCTTTTTTTATTAAAACCACCTTATAGAACATCGCATCAGTTACAATGTAGAATCATTGATAGTTTACAAATGACAAAATGTTTACACAAAATCATGACAGTGTTTACACGATATCACCCACTACTAACGTTACTTTAGTTACTATCAATTACTTCAATTTATCTTTTGAAAAATTACCGCTATTTATACAGCACAAGACTTAAGAATATTTAACAGGAGCAGGTTTCATTTTTCCCTGGTTTTATTATCACACTGTTCACCAAACAGCAAACCTTCACCATCTTATCCAGAAGGGTCACCTCTTCACCCTCACATGGAAGAAGTAATCTGATTGGCATGGTGGTATGTTTGAAGCAGGTCCCTTGTGTAGCGCTGGAACCCAGTCACGAGTGTTTCATCCATTTCATAGGGCTGGTTTGCTGCAATAATGCCAAATAATTAGCAACTCTATAAATAGAAGGTAGTTCTGCAAAATCACTCAGTAGGATGTTTGTTCTAATTTGCTATGAGCTCAGAGCGCATCGAAAATAAAACTAATAGGCTATAAAGATATGAACATATTTAGAACTTACCGGAATGAAAATGTCTGGAGCACCAACAGATATTTGGAGATGGAAGAGAACTGGAGCTCGTCTCACAGCTGCTATCCAGGCTAGACGCCTTCGTTTGGTAACATCGATACACGAGCTGCCTCATGTTGCTTCCAGGTTGGGAAAGAATGAAAAGACAAACCCTTTTCAAGCTTATTCTCTTGCCGGTCGTGCGATCGAACATTGCAGCCGACCACACAGCAAGAACGAACCATGGCTATGCTTTCGCTCCTTTTTCACTTAGACCCCCAAAATGGCGGATCGGGCCAAAATCCTTTCCACGCCCACCCCCGTGACATCACGCTCCAAAGCCCTATTAGGCTAATCGTTGTGTCACTTCCGGTATTTCAGACAATCCCTTTCCGTCAAGGATTTTTAATTTGTTGTGGGTTTTTTTTTAATTTGTTGCGGTTTTTTAATTTGTTGCGATTTGCACTTCCGGCAGATCCACACGTAGAACCAGTTTCACGAAACTTAGCAAGCAGTTTGCTGACTGTAGCATGGGAGATGGGTGGTCTCGTAGGGTGTCTTGCATTGAAATCTGCTGCAATGACCCGGTTACTGCGTTCACCAGATATCAACACAATTTCGATCCGCTCCTAACATGTTAACCTCTTCGACATATCAATGGCTGTGAACAAAGAGAAACTTGTAAATAACTCATGAAAGGATAACCAAGCACACCATTGGGCAGAGAGAGTGTTCGCCCGTGGCGCCAAACAGGCTAGGACCGCCACTGTCCCTGATAGTGGCTCCAGCGTACCACACGGTGATGGAGTGAGGATGGACTCGATGATTGCAGTGTAGAATTGCATCATCGCCC